AATACACTTCCTCGTGTTATGGTGACCCCCCTCCCCCAACCATAAAATTATTTTTGTTGCTACTTCATAACTGTCATTTTGCTGCTGTTGTGAATTATAATGTAAATATCTGGTATGCAGGATGTACGTTCATTCACTGGACCAAATTTGGCACAAGTACCCAATATGTCCAAATTTGAATACTGGTGGGGTTGGTGGGGCGGGGGTTGATTTTATCCCGTGGGAGTTGTAGTTGCTGGGATTTATAGTTCACCTACAATCAAAGAGCATTCTGAACTCCACTAATGATTGAATTGGTCCACACAGAACTCCCATGACCAACAGAAAATACTGTTTTCTGATGGACTTTGGTGACCCCTCTGACACCCCCTTGTGACCCCTCCAGGGGTCCCGACCCCCAGGTTGAGAAACACTGTATTAAGCTATTTGGGGCTTTAAATATTATTGTGGGCACCTTTAATTAAAAATATATTGGCAGCCACTGTAATTACTATAAAGCTGGTATTATATGTTTTCTATATGGCATTCTGGGCAGCAGTCTAATTGTTGTATTTTGCACTCATAACAGCATCTATGTCCATTTCAAGATTAGTCCCACATGGAGCTAATGAGTGTGTGGACTATTGTGGATAGGTTGTCCCTGTCATGAAAAAGGCATAGCTGGTGGTGGGCAAAAGTGTCCCTAGACCAGTGGTTCTCAACCTGTGCGTCCCCAGGTGTTTTGGCCTTCAACTCCCAGAAATCCTAACAGCTGGTAAACTGGCTGGGATTTCAAGGGAGTTGTAGGCCAAAACACCTGGGGACCCACAAGTTGAGAACTACTGCCCTAGACATTTCCAACAAATTTTAACTGGCCACAGGGCATCTGAACCTGTTCAGAATGCAAACCGCTCATAGTTTAGGAGTATTTGTTTAGACCGCCGCGATACCAATGGGCACAAGAGGGCCTCACTATAGCCCTCTACCAGGCTGCCGTGGCTCCAGTTGATTTATTGTTGTTTGCTGTTTGTTTGTTTTGGCAACAAATGTTTGCCACTTTGTTCCTTTTGTCTGCAAATTGCCCCGAGTCCCTTTGGGGAGATAGGGTGGTATTATTATTATTATTATTATTATTATTATTATTATTATTATTATTATAAATTACTTTAAGTTAGTAAATTTCTTCCAGTGGGGAGAGGAGAAAGTTTAGATCTGGTCTAACTGCATTCTTTCCTCATCTCACTCTTGCTTTGGATAAACTGTCAGCAGAGTAGCTCCGCTGACAAATCTCTCTGTTGGCAGGGCTCTGAGATGAGCCTGTAAAAGAGAGATCTGCTAGTAAATTGACATTTTTTCCTGGCAGAAGAGATATGTGCATAATCCTAATAACCTAAAATGCCCATATCTTTGATTCAGGATTGCACTGTAGATTGGGGTGAGGCATTTGCTCTTAAATTGTACATTTTTTTTTTACTGTCAAACCACATATTGTGTTAGCTTTATCCAAAAATTCTTAGATAAGAGACCATAGCACTAATAAACCATTACATGCATATAATACATCAAAAGTGTGATGGGAAAACGTATTCATGGGTATATCCTGCTGTATGTGTGCATATAGATGTATACTCCATTGGCTTCTATTTTTTTTCATTGTTTTTAGAGCAGTTTGTCAGTTGTAGGGCACATTATGTTCTTAACGGTAAGAGTACAGTATTGAGCTAATATGCACTTAAAACTGAGGACAAGGTTTGTTCTTCTTGGTATCAGTGTCATTTCATCCACCCACAACTGCAGAACTCAGTATTCAGAAATGTTCACTGTTCAGGAGAGAAAACAGCTAAGGAACATTTCCAAATGAAACTACAGGGAGAATTTGTGTAGGCAGAGTGCAATTACTCAGACTGGAATGCAAGTACATTTGTGTACACCAGGATCTCTCAAGCAAACTTTAGACGTTTAATAGTTTCTCTCTCCTTCCTTACTAATGGAACAACTTTCAAATGTAAGGGAACAGTCATGTAGTGGTTAGAGTATCACAGTAGGAGACCCAGCTCCATTCTGCTGTGGAATATGCTGGGTCTCCCTCAGCCATACCAATCTCCCACAGTTTTTAAGAGGACTGGAGGAATTCTGTACTGACAGAACAAATAACTAGTCAAGCTTCAAGAATATACTAAATTTTGCAAGGAAATAAATTTGCAAAATCCAAGAAACAGACTTGTATGGGAGTCATATTTAAGAACAGATATACTAAAGAAAACCATGAGCTACAGTTAAGACACCACCATCCTATGAATCAGTCTCTGTCCCTTTTTAAAAATATTCATAAATGGTATTATTGTCTAGTTAAACTACTGTACATAAAATGAATAATGGTGTATCAAAGCTATGCCTAAACGTGGTACAATAGGTAATTGGCAACATACCCACAAGAGTTAGTTTCTGAAAGAAAACATTAAAATGGATTAAACCAGTATGCTTTATTATTTTTATTTTTATTTTTGTCGTGTCAGGAGCGACTTGAGAAACTGCAAGTCGCTTCTGATGTGAGAGAATTGGCCGTCTGCAAGGACGTTGCCCTGGGGACACCCGGATGAATTGATTTTTTTTTATCATCCTTGTGGGAGGCTTCTCTCATGTCCCTGCATGAGGAACTGGAGCTGATAGAGGGAGCTCATCCGCCTCTCCCTGGATTTGAACCTGCAACCTGTGGGTCTTCAGTCCTGCCGGCACAAGGGTTTAACCCACTGCGCCACCGGGGGCTCTGCTTTATTATTAAAAACCATATTTGAAAAGGAAAAAGGAAGACTGTGTATAACACTCTTGTTAAGCGCTACATTAGAAATAGTGAAATCATGGAAATTATTAAAAGGTAGGTAATGTGTGTCCTATAGCAATATCTGCAAAATTAACATATGTAGATTAGCAAAAGGAGAAATCAAACAAGATATGTTTGAAGCAATTTGGAAGCCTATTAATGTTTTTGTTACTTTTCCAAACCTGGGAATGAAATCTTCACTTGATCTTGCATCTTTCTGGAAGTATGTTGAATCTAATGAATCATATACAGTCCATTGCACAGTATAGAACATCAAATATTATTTATAACAATCATGGTTGATGGAAACATATATATGTAGGTGGATCAACGAACATACACTTCAACTGTCTTGATTTGCAAAGACAGTCCCAATTAATCTGCAGTAGTCTCATTTTCACCAGCTTTAAAAATATCCCTCATCTCTTTTCCTTTCACTTACCTCTTTTTTTTCCTTGGCTTACTTCAAAATGAGTTCAAAATGCAAACAGAGGTTACACTCAAGTAGCTTAGAGGGGAGAGGAACAGACACAATCTTGGCCTTCCTAAGAGACTCTGATAAAAGCAAACTGCTGCAGCCTCTCACATTTTGTCTGCTTTTCTTCATTACTTTTGCTATCTTAGTCACACTGTGATGTTGCTTGGCTGCTCATGTTTCAGTTTTAATATCTGAAGTGTTGACTGATATGCACAAACTGTGACCCAACACAATAATCAGCATAGTATTGTGATCTTCCTACCATTTGATAAGTCTTGATCTTTACTCTCTTCAGCCAACAACAATAGAGGCTGCTCATCCAGATATATGTGGGTTATATTTCATTCTGTGGACTGGAGTTTATGCAAGGCTTGTACAGAACAAAACATTTTCCCTTCCAGTTTTTGGCTCCAGTTCTTTGGAGTATCTGGAAAGATGTAGATTCAAAACCTAGCAAAGGAGATGCTAAAATTAAGAGAACTGGCTTAAATGTACAGAGTCAGGTTTTGCAAAGTGTAAGGGACAGTGGGGGTTTACTGAGTTTGCCTTTTACTGAAGCAAAAGATCATGATATTGTGAGCAATCCCGATATAGATTGGGGGGTTTTCCCATTTTTATTTTTAATATATACACATAAAATCACACTCTGATCCCAAATCAATTGTGCATACATATAAAAGCCAGGACTGATTTTCAGACAAGTCTCTGATATCAAGAAAGTTTTTGAAAAGCTTAATGCCTGAAGTCAAGAAGTAGAGGTAAAGCAGGAAAAGACATTTCAGTTCCTGGCACCAGTGTAGTCTTTGATGTAAAAATCAACCCTTGCTGTTGACTAGGTAAATTTGGATGAACATGGGAATTCTGTTCCTTTCCTTGTCTAGCCATATCTTCACAATATCACTACAGATGATCTAAAGCAGTGGTTCTCAACCTGTGGTCCGTGGACCACCAGTGGTCCCCAAGAATGAAAATAAGGTCCGCAGCCTCACCATTACTACACTGTTTGCCTTGAAACCACGCGGCAACAAGAGTGACTGTTCTCACAAAACCCTCTTATAGTGCCAAGGCAACTGGAATGTTGGAAGGGGAGAGGCTGACTACCCACGAAAGATTAATACTACCACATCAGCTCTAGATTATTAAATATGGTTTTCTATGGGTGAGCAGATGGCAACTACTGGATGGCATATGTTCTGTATCAGAAACTAGAGCTGATATGGTCTATCCAATGCAATTTTCTGAATCAGCATCCCAAATAACCAAACCAAATCTAAAGTTGACCCAAAACTGGTTCATAAACCTTTTGGTAATAATGGTGGAGAGTGGCTCCTGTTCAAATGGTCCCTGGTCAAAAAAGGTTGGGAACCACTGATCTAAAGAAAGTATGTCCCTGGCATATTGACCCAGTAGGGGCATTGATCTACATGATTCATTGGCTCCAACACAGAGACAAAGATACACAACCAAACCACCCATGTACCTAATAAGACCTGGAGAAAGCATCCCATTTTCATAGATGGCAGATTCTGAGTTCAGCTTTTCACAGCCAGCAGAATCTTTTTAGTAACAGATGAATAGTGGTGACAATGTTACATTGGAATGAGCATATGCATGATTAGCGTGACTCGTGGTGTTTGTCTCTCTGTATAAGAGTATATTTTGGAATGCACATGCATTTTCTCCGAATGCACACATGAAATTCATTTTGATTTTATTTTGCAGACCTGTCGAGATGTGAATAGAGCACCTAAATGGACTGTAATCAAGAAAGGCCCCTGAAATAATGTATATATTTATATGACAATCATGTACCTCCAAAGTACAAAACCCTTCATAGAGATATCTTTGCACATTTACTTCAACTTTCCTGTTACCTGTTTTGCTGAATGTAAAGTGTGTGGATGATACTACCGCTCAAAAGTTTATTTGTACATATCCAGGAAGTGAATTTCATCATAATAAAAAATAAATGCTGCATCATTTTAAGCAAAGAAATGAAATAAATCTTTTTCATGAAAAAATGTTTACTTTTCTCTTTGTTATGTTGTATTCAAAGCATTCACCAACAATTACCATATGTGTAGTTGTTGTGTGTATATGTTGTATGCATACAGTTAACAGTCATGTATGATGGACATGTTTCCATCACACTTTAAATTCTAAAATCCCATTGACTATCATGGGAAATCTCTATTTAAATGCCCTTATCTTAGTTTGGATTGCGCCCATGGAACTTTATTCATTAAGTGCTAAAGAATGTATGTATATGGAGTGCTGTGAAATAAAGTCAAATTTTTACTGCTATTTTTATAAAAAATCCAAATTTGTCCAAATTATCAAATGTACTATGATGAAATTAATGGTGGACATTCTGAACATATAAAACTTCTATAACCTTCAAGAGGAGACCCACAAAGGTAAGTAGGCTGGAATGATGGAAATTGCCCGGAGTCCCTTTGGGGAGTTTTATCGTTATTAGGCTCTATTGCAGTGGTTCTCAACCTATGGGTCCCCAGATGTTTTGGCTTTCAACTCCCAGAAATCCTAAGAGCTGGTAAACTGGCTGGAATTTCTGGGAGTTGTAAGTCAAAACACCTGGGGACCCACAGGTTGAGAACCACTGCTCTATTGTGTATTATTTCTGGTATCAAGAGCCACATATTCCATTGGATCCATATTCAAATATGTATCTGAATGCTAAATGCCTATCTGCATTGCTATTACTATGAAGTATCTACATGTTCAGATGTACCTCCTCATCAACATTCCAGTGCAAATAATCACGTGAAGAGTGCATTTTTAATATACATTTGGATGTATTTTCACTCTCAAATAAGAGAAAAGCCAACTTGGTTTTGCTGCCTGGGGTAAATGTCACAATAAGTATGCCAGTGACAAGTATAGGAGAAGCCATGATTTAATAATAGAACCACTTGCTTAATTAAAAGGATGTTTAATATAGTATAGCTGGAAAAGTCCATTTTCACAGATCCTTGGAAAATCGCCATCTTGGTTTTGCTGCCTGGGACGAATGACATGTCCACCACCCGTTCATGTACAAAAGCAAACTGGACTTGAAAATGAATGTTTTCAATGAGGCATCAGACAACATCATTGACCACAGCTGAAAGGTTCAAGGCAAGCTGCATGACACACAGCTGTCTCTTCCATTATAGCCAGCAATTACCACTTGATGCGACCTTCTCATTCTGTATATCAGTAAGCCAATTCTGCAACAAAAATGATAACACTGGACTTGATGCACCAATGGTCCGATTTTGTATAAGACAGCTCCATCTGTCCATAAGCAAATCCTTTCCAAGGGTAACTGTTTCCTTGGAGAACATCTTAAAAAGGGAGAAATCCTGCGAAAAAAGAAAACAATGGAACTACTGTAGATATGAGACTGTTCTTTGTCGATTAAAATGTCAACATGTCAACTGCACTTGAGAATTCAGAAACTGGGGGCTCAGAATCTGTGGGCAGAGGCTTTTATTGCAGTCTGGGTACAGACAATATTTGATAGTTTATTAAGAGTCAGAATGTGTTCTACAAACTGGAGGACAAAAAAAAGATGGAATCCTGTTGTATGACACAAATGCATAAGCACCATAATTATAGTGCTGCATAATGACTTCCATCCCAATCCCATCCCATTAATCCCATCCCTGTTTACGAGGAATACGTTCTCTTGTTGATAAGACTGAAATTTGGGGCAGTATTGGCCGCAGTGTTTTGTGCCTTAATTTTCTCCAGATTAGAATGCTGTAATGAATTACTCAGGGCTGCACTTGAGACTTAGTGCAAAACGTAGTAGCCTGGCATTCATCCAATGTACCTTTCAGACATCACATATCCCAGGTCTTCTAGCAACATGTATTGAATTTCAAGGTGTGCTAGCTTTGTCCTGTGGAGCTCTACTGACTTTATGGTGACTATCAAGATTGTATTGTTGCATATGGCTTTTGGACTTTAACTGTTTTAATTGTGCAGATATTCTTAAAACTTTTAAAAAGTAATTTTGATATTGTACATTGCTATGGGAACTCTGGTAGGCTGAATGGTTCTTTGAAAAATAAGTTCATTTTTCTTTCAATAATGGTCAAGATATAAATGTGAAAGGTATTCTCCCTTTTTTTTGACCTCAGAATTTTTCATATATTAGCAGGGCAAAAATCCAATTCTTTGCTGAAGAGCCTGTTGAAAGTAACCAAATCTGTATGGAAGATGCTTTTGCAGAACTGGGCAAAGAAATATGGTGATTTCACATATGTGCCAGGCCACATTCCTATCTACTAACAAAGGTCCAGTGCACCCATTGAGCACCATGTTTTTGAATACAGAAACTAAGATTCCCATACATGCTTTCCTGCTTCCTGACTGTAAAATGGTATTTAAAATATAGTATTTATGTTATACTATATTTATTTATTTATTTATTTATACTATATTTTAAAATATAGTAACTTACAATTTACTGACCATTTGTGATACTCAGTATTAATTTTCTTTAGTGGAAGCTTCACTTCACTCTAATGGGAGGACTCGTTCTTGTTTTTCAACAAGCAGACTTTTTCACCATGAAAATAAGTGTAGATGTAATAATTCAACATTTCTAACATGCTGTGTTGCGATTGCTGATGTGCTTGTATAACATCCTGCTATGGCTATACTTTAATACTATTTTAAAGTTCATTCTTTCCCCCTGTTATCACAATAAACACTATGGCTGGAATCCTCTTGGTGTCATCTGATTTGTACTTCTTCAGTTGTAGAACCATGGTAGCACAAGTAGATTTCTGCTGACAAAATTATTGTGCAAGCAGTAATGTTGCAAAACTGTATTCTCCAGTGCAAATACAAAATGTGTTCTATATTACCTCTGCGTATTCTCTTTCTATTTCCAGATGCATTTCTCGCCTTCCAAAACTGCTGTAGCTTAATATGGTATCAAACATTTATAATATGCTCTTGAATTATGAACATGCAAACGTAACACCAGACCAGATAGCACACCAGCTAACTGAGAATGGAAAAACCAACTGCAGCAGAGTAAAGGTGAAAATCAACAGGGTGCCAGGGTTTGAAACTCACCAGTTGTCATCTTCCCTAAACCGGAAAGAGAGAGGCTATTAAGTGATATAAAACTGGTAAAGCATCTGGCCTAGATTACTTAATGATGGAGCAAATCAAACACTTGGGCTCCAAAGTTGAAAACTGGCTTTTGAAATTTTACAATCAATGCTTGGCACATGAACAGATTCCCGACTATGGAGGAAAACCAAGATCATTGTCATTTTAAAACCTGGTAAAGATGCCTCCAATGCCAGACACTACCAATCGATCTTGCTCCTATGTCAGCTATATAAAGTATATGAGAGGATGCTATTAAATGATTAGGAGCTGTTATTGAACCCCAGCTTATTGCACAACAAGCAGATTTCAGACCACGGAAAAACTTTACAGCCCAAATTCTTAACCTGCCTGAGTTCATTGAGGAAGGGTATGAGAAAGGTTGCACTACCAGAATAGGTTTTGTTGACGTTACGGCAGCCTATGACACAGTGCAACATAGGAAAATGCCGAAGAAAGTCAAAACTGAACACTCTGAAGACTGCCCGGAATCTGCAATTAGTCCAGCGCTCAGCAGCCAGGCTACTGACGGGAGCTGGGTACAGGGAGCGCACAACTCCCTTGCTGCACCAGCTCCACTGGATGCCAATTAGCTTCCGAGCACAATTCAAAGTGCTGATTTTAACCTATAAATCCCTATACGGTTCCAGCCCAGTTTATCTAGTAAGAAGTAAAAAAGATATCCTAAATAAAACCCTAATATATATATATATATATATATATATATATATATACACACACACACACACACTACAAGAATACATCCACACACAAAAAATAGAAAAAAAGAAAAGAAAAAAGAAAAAAGTGACTTCTATTCCATCTTCTTGAATAAAATATTCTTATTATTCAAAAATATAATTTTTTTATTAAAGATAATAAAATTGTCTCTCTTGTTTTTTATATTCGCAAATTGTCCAGATAGTCATGAAGATTGTCCCAATTCATTCTTTTTATTATCATGCCTGTATTTTTCTTCAACAAAAAAAGTCAGTTCGTCCATGTCCTTTATTTCTCTGATTTTTTCCCCACCCAATCCTGTATGGGTGGTACTGAGTCTTGCTTCCACTATCTAGCAAAAACAATTCTAGGGGCGGTCATTGTATATGTAAAAAGTTTGTCCTCTTGTTCCGTCAATTGTAAATCCAAATCTGTAAAGCCTAACAAGTAATACTCTGGTTTTCTTGTAAAAGTTCTTTTTAAGATCTTTTGCGTCTCTTCATGAATTACCCTCCAAAACTTTACTGCTTCTTTACAAGTCCACCACATATGGTAGAAGGAACTCACTTGTTCTGAACATTTCCAACACTTATCAGAAACTGTTTTATGGCCACCCCCTTTCAAGCAGCATGAAATACCATGCCTGAAAGGCAAGTGCGCCCATAGGCGAGCAAGCATGCGAGTGAATATTTATTTACTTCTATTTTCTCCTGTCCCCCCACCAACTTTATGATGAAATTACCCAATTTTCTAGCAGATCGTCAATAATCAACTGAAGATAAAAAAAAGAAGCATATAATTTAAAGTTGCAGGAGCCCTTAAAAAACAAATTGAAAATTCTGGACTGCAAAAGGCTAGTGTGGTAACATCCTAAAGAGAAATGAATAATCTCTTCTGTTCCTGAAAGCTAGTTTGCTAAGGGAGTTGTGATCATGGTTGATCTTCAACAAAGACCCATTCTTCATTCTTGAGTTGACTTTTTTAAGGATTTAGAAGAAATCAGAGGGAGAATATGCTTGTAGAAAACAGTATTTTCCCTTTGAATACATTTATAAGAATTACTCCAAAACCTCTCTTGGAGATATAGTGCTTTCCCTCATTCTATGGTGAGCTCACTCATTGCTAATTACATTTTAAGCACTCTGTGTGAGAAAGAGGAAGTTAAAGGAGAAAATGTATTTTTCAAGCATTATCAACTCTGCAGTTTTCAGCATCATCTTAGCTTTGATCCTTCTGTTGCATAGCCATTAATTCACTCATCCTTCCTTTAATGCTCAAGGTTATTTAGGATGAATGGAAGCATGCTGTTCTTTCACTCCCTCCCTCTAGATTTGACCTAGCAAATAATCTCTCCTGAGGTCACTTAACTTAACTCTTCTAAATGTCACACATCCATAGATGTACATGTCATTTTGGAGCTTCTGCAGGCTGCCCACGTGCCCAAATAAAAACTCGGTGACTCAGTCCCTACATTGAGAATACTATGATACCATTCTTTTCTAGGAATCTTTCCTGCAAGGAAGGTACTGTTTGACACAAACAGAGCAGCAGCACAGATGGAGCTTTCTTTTAAATGGAAATGGCATTTGGAACACTCCTTACTTAAGGTTCTTACCTTGTTTTATTCCTTGCATGAAATAGTTTACTTGAGGAAATGAGGAGTTGGGT